GGGGCAACTTTGCCATTCTGATAAATGATCCCCCAGGTGAGTCTAATTCCCTAATTCCACCCCATAGAAGGAAGATGAGTACCCTTCTGAAAAGGAGAGACCTGAAGAGTCTCCAGTTTTTGAGAAAGAGAAATTACTAAGTCTCTCAAGCCCTTCAGTTTCTCCCTTATCTCATCCCAAGACTTCTGTTCCTTAAACTTGGCTTCATGGACAAGAGGGAACTGACCCTGGTTGAATGATGTTGTAAAAGTGTTCTCATCTAGTGGCAGCTCTGGCGGAGCAGAGGGTTTTGTTCCACCCATATCCACCTCAGGGAAAATTTCTCCCTGCCACTTGGGACTCAGATCTAAGCTGTCCTGAATTAATGCCCACAGGCCAAAAGCTTCCACGGCAATCTTTTCCATCCCATGTTCCTCATAATATTGTTGCATTTTGGCTCTGATTCTCCCCCAGGAATCTGCATCCACAGTCCCATAGTTGAAAACCAAAGACACAGTTCCTCTACAAACTCCGAGAACCTCTGTACTTGTTGTGGTTCTACCTTAACTCCTAGTTTTCAAACTTTCTACAAACGAATATACAAACATATACTTACTATTTCCCTGTCCCATAGTGGCTTTTCTTTCTCAGACTGCTAAGTCTGCAGTGGCTGCTTGTTTCTGGACACTGTTTTCAGGTCCAGCACTAGGAAAATTCTACTCTTACCCTAAGTTTCTTCCTAAACAATATTCCTATACCTAAACCCTAAAATTTTTCCTAATTTCATAGATAGAAATTGAGAGAGAGAGAGAGAGAAAGAGAGAAACCTAGATAGAGATACTTGCTGCAGCCTAACTTTTCTATATACAGTTTTTGCTCCCGAAGAATAAAATACCACCACCTTAATCTTAACACAAAACAGGACATGTCCAACTGCTTCCGTGGTGATTCCTCCCCCACTTACTTCCTCTGCACCCAAGTCCCTAGTTCTGGCACCATCTGTGGGAGGCCACCTTTTAAAGGGTTCCTATGAGGAGGAGAGAGGGATAAGAAACTTTTAGATAGAAAGATAGCAAAGAGGAGACAGAAACACAGGATAGCTTCAGGAGGACCTGGATCAAAACCCAACAGTCCCTTCTGCCTCTTCAAAAGGACTTTTTATAACAATGTCAAGGGGTGGGGCAAACTCCCCCTTGCTAGATCAAAGCACACCGCACAGCCAAGTATAGACCTTCCAAACATCTGGTAACCATGCCCGTGGCCAAATCATCCCCTTATGCAGCCCTGCTAGATAAAGCAAGCTCAGATTCTCGGGCCCTGAGTAAGTTCTCACTAGGAAACCTCTGTGAGTCTCTATAATGCAGAATCATGGTTTTGTACAACTTGGCCACAGATTCATTTGGGTGGCAGGGGGAGACTTCTGTTACAGGAATGTGTTCCTTAGAGCATATTTTGTGAGAAAAATAAATGGCCCTGAATGTTAGACCAGTGATGTGAGCATGTCATTTTATCTGCATTCTGCTTGGTCACTGTGGCCTTTATATTGAAAAGCATATGACTGGAGACACTCTGTTGAGTTGGGGGTGGGGTAGTGATAAATTTATGGGACACGTTACTAGAAAAGGTTGGGTCAGAAAGCACAAATCCTAAATGGTCTTTTAATATAAACCCAGAGCCAGATATCAGGGTGAAAGCTAAAAGATAGAGGAAACAAGCCACAGCCACTTCTCAGCCAATCCTGTCTCCACAAATCCTCAGACCAAATGCTCCTGTCCTCAGCCAAAAGGCCTAGTTCCTGTCTCCTCATGCCTTACATGCCTTTTTCCGCCCAGCCATTTCACTTCCTATCTCAACCTTCCTAGTGCTAGGATTAATGGCATGTGTGCTTCCCAAATACTGGGGTTAAAGGTGTGTGCCACCACTGCCTGGTTCTTTTTTCTCTCGTAGACTGAATCAGTCTCATGTAGGCCCAGTGTGGCCTTGAACTCACAGAGCTCCAGATGGATCTCTGCCTCCCAAGTGATAGGATTAAGGGTGTGTGCTACCACTGCCTGACCTCTGTGTTTAATCTAGTGGCTGGCTCTGTCCTCTGATCAGGCAAATTTTATTAGAGTACAACAAAAATGTCACCACAGAAAGCTGGCATCCTAAAATGCTCCTTGGGAAAAGATTGTACACATAAGTAAATCTAATAATCCAATGGTTTATGTGGGAGGAAGAAATAAACATTGTCGTGACTGAATTAAATGAGCAAGACTTTTAGATCACTCAGTCTGTTAGTTAGGTAAGGGAGTGAGGCATGGACTCAGCTAGGCTCCTTGAATCATAAGACCTGACTCATCTTAATTCTGCTAATCATGCCAGACCTCTCTCATCATGTTAGATTGTGCAACTGAGGCAATCTCTTCCTCTCAGGTTCTTAGAGATGTCAAATGAATTGCGTGAGTATTGAGTGAGTTAAAAGGCCTTGCAATTATGCAGACTGGCCATGGTAGATGCTGTCTAAGGGAACATACTGAAATATGGAGGGAAAGGGGAATTGCTTGAGGAAGTGGATTCAAATCTGCCCCTGTGCTTTGGACTAGAGTAAAATTCTGTAAAACACTGCTTATGGATGGTGCTAGTAGGCAGACAGGATTGTTTTGGCTACCTGTCTGTTTGGCGGGGTGGTGTGTGATCTCTGTGAGTCAGTAATTTTTTGTGTAGCTACTGTGAAGCAAGTGCCAGTTAAAAATGCCTCTTTTGGTGGCATAATATGACCCTTGCCTCTTTTTCAAAGATGGGTTGATAAGTAAAGCAAGGTAAAATCCTTTAATCTGAAATAAAATATATACACAAGTAAATATGTCAACACACTTAGCTTGTGTACCATTTAAAAATTTTTTATTACATTTACTTATTGTGTATGTGGGGCATGCCACAGCACATATGTGGAGGTCAGAGGCCAATTTGTAGGAGTTAGCTCTCTCTATCTACCATATGGTTCTTGGGGATCAAACCCAGGTTTGACAGCAAGTACCTTTACTACTGATCCATCTTACTTGCCCATGTACCTTTTTTTTTTTTAAAGAGAAGAACCTAAGGTTCATTGTCACACCGTGTTCTTCATTGCTTTTGAAGAAACAGATATTCTATAATGGTTGTGACATATTTTGGTCAGGGGTGAAGTGAAGCCCATGCAGCTTCATCATCTGTAGATAGATGTCTACACTCTTGGAGGATCAGAAAAGGAAAAAACCTAACATTACATTCTCTATGTTGTTGAGCCACATAGGAATGTACTGTAAATGTGAGGAATAAAGCACAAGGTTTATCTGCACCACTGCTTAGACACATTCTGCTCTTTGAATTTATCTTTTTTAATCTTTGAATTCATCTTTTTTAAAATTCATCTTTTTTTTTTCTTGGAGTCCAAACCCTCAGCCTCACACATACCAAACAAGTGCCTAACCACTGTGTTACAATCTAGACTTCTTTTTAAAATCCTGTTTGTTAAGGTACAATTGTTATACAGCAAAACCAACTCTGTTTATGGTTTTTCTCTGTAAGAGTACCTTGTTTGGGTGTATGGGTTTTGACAAATGCATGTAGTCATTCATGTAACAACCCCTCAAACAAGATACAGAAAGTATTTTGATTACCCCCTAAAGTCCTTCGTGTTCCTTTATAGTCATACCCTTACTCCACCCGAACCCCCAAGAGCCAGTATGTCTCCTTACTTCTGCCTTTATGTAAATAGAATCATACTCTCCTGATTGTGACTCTGAAGAAACCTTGATAAAATTCTAACATTCAAAGCTTTCCTCCAATGAACAGGTGTCATCACTTTCTAGGGATAGTTCCAGAGTCATGTTTCAGAAGGAAGATATGGTCATTTTTCTTGGCACCTACCTCCACTGCCTTGTGGAGTTCATCTATGATAATCATTCTCTGAAGGCATTTTAGGTTACTAGGCATCCTATACTAACTTTGATCAATAGTTCGAGCAGCTCAGAATTAAGTATTTTCTGGAATTTCTCATTAGTAAGAGAAATATACCCTTTACTGCCTGTAGAAGAAGTACCAAGTCTACTAAAGAATGACCTGAATGGACCTGTACATTTATTTGCTAGCCTGGTTGGGTACTGTCATTTCTGCTTTTTCAAAAGGAGTAGAATGAAAGGTAGGTGGAAAATCACTGTTGCTTATGAAACTGGGATGCCACTGTAGCAGTGTGCACAGCTATTTGTGGGCAGACATTCAGAAATCACAGTGCAGTATCTAAGTACCATTCTATAATAATGGCACCTTTTTATTTACAGACTATTAGTTTCTATAACCAACCTCATGTAGATATGACCTTACATAATTAATACAGTGCATTGCTCTTGTACACATGGAATAAATGTACTTGAACTCTTCCAGGCCAGTTCTGTCTAACCCCAAATCAACGTGGTAAACTGGGGTACTTGTTTTCCATTGGTGACAGCATCATTAAACTTTCCAAAAATTCAAATTATACACATATATGTGAATACTTCTGTGAAAAGGTCAATGTGTATCACAAGTGGTGGCATTTCTTCCAGGTTTTGCATCATCTGAACAGATTTATAGAGACATCCAGTGTAATTGATTGGTAAAAAGCCAGACATCAGTGAAGTTACATTACTATTGTGGTGCCTGGTACCATTTTTTTTATTGGTTTTTTAGTATAATGGCACTTTGATTCCTACATTTGTATTTAATTGTCTTCTTACTCATGTGAAGATACTGCAGTATCTCATGCTAACTTCCAAAAATCAAAGGGAAGCCCACATCAGATAGCTGTGTAGTTATATGTTTATTAATTTCTAGATATTTATGTGTTTGAGATTTACATACTGGACTTTATAAACCTGATGTAGTATTTTTGACATGTTAGATGATGCTTCCAATGAAAGAAAACGTCTCAAGTTACAGATAGAGGATCTTTTTGTTTGTTCTGAGAGACTTTTGAATGTATGGAGCTTGACCGTTGTGGGACCTTTTTTTTTTTTTTTAAGGCTATGAAAACGACTCTGTAGAGGACTTGAAGGAGATGGCTTCCGTATCTTCTCGGAAGAGAGGGAAAAGAAGATACTTCTGGGAGTACAGTGAACAACTTACACCATCACAGCAAGAGAGGATTCTGAGGCCATCTGAGTGGAACCGAGACACCTTGCCAAGTAATATGTACCAGAAAAATGGCTTACATCATGGTAAGAGGGGTTCAAAAATATTTAGTGCTCATTTCTCTTTTTTAGTATGTGGAGGTATTTTTTGAGCCTTTGAGATGGGGTCTTCATATGTAGCCTAGACTTGCCTCTAACTGTGTAGCCCAGTATGGCCTTGAACTTTGAATCCCTCTGCCTCATTCTTCCAGATTCTAGGACTATAGGTACATGCCACCATACCTGTCTGGTGTCACTGTAAACAGAGATAATGAACCATAATGCTTAATGTGCTTGGGTTTTCAGCCCTTTATAGTCAACTGGAGAGGGCATCGAAGAGAGCTTTTTCTTACATATAGCTTCCATCATTGTGGAGAGCCATCATTTCTGATCCCCTCTTCCTCCACTTTATGAAATGGCCAAGAGACTGCTGCAACACACTGGGGAGAAAGCAGACCTTCCTCGTCACTCTCTTCCATTTTCATCCACCCCAGACTTAATTTAATGGGGGAGATTGAGTTGTAAAAGTTGATGGGGAGAAAAGCAGAGGGGAAGAAAGGACACATGGTTGTGGAAAAAGAGCGGAGAAGGGGAGTTTATAGGAATCAGGAGAAGCGTATGGTTTAGGTAGATGTCTTAGGGTTTGTACTGCTGAGACAAAACACTATGACCAGAAGGCACGCTGGGGAGGAAAGGGTTACACTTCTGCATTGCTGTTCATCACTGAAGGAAGTCAGGACAGGAATTCAAATGGGAGGATTCTGAAGGCAGGAGCTGGTGCAGAGGCCATGGAGGGGTGCTGCTTACTGACTTGCCTCCCATGGCTTGCTCAGCCTGCTTTCTTATAGAACCCAGGACCACCAACCAGGGATGACACTGCCCATCATGGGCTGGACCCTCCACCATTGATCACTAATTGAGTAAATGCCTTACAGCTGGATCTTAAGAGGCATTTCCTCACTGAAGCTCCTTCCTCTCTAATGACTCTAGCTTGGACAAAGCCACCTAGGACAGTAGATCAAGACTGGAATTGTGAATCCAGAAAGCTGTGATTAAATAGAATTTCTTCTGTTGTTTTCACATTACTACCAAGTAGGCTACCAAAAAGGCAGAGAGAAGGTATGAACGACTCAGTAAAGAGTGCACACTCACGCCATAAACTTCAGTTGCTGAGCATTTTGGAAGACAAGAATTGGCCCCCAGTCTGTCTGTTACTCGGGCTTTGTTTTCCTAGTCCAGATCTATACTCTACCACCTCTCAGGAAATTTTTTTTAAAGATTTATTATGTGTACAGTATTCTGCCTGCATGTGTCCCTGCAGGCCAGAAGAGGGCACCAAATATCATTACAGGTGGTTGAGAGTCACCATGTGGTTGCTGGGAATTGAACTCAGGATCTCTGGAAGAGCAGTCACTGCTCTTAACCTCTGAGCCATCTCTCCAGCCCAGGAAATTTTTATATTCAGACTTTTTTAAAAAACCAGAACTGAAAAAGTAAAGTTCAGTAAATAATTCCAGGTAGCTTGTGATGAGTCTTAGAAAAGCCATTGGGTGTACTGTGATACTTGAAAGTAATGGGCTGGGACTGGGGTGTGGTTCAATGGTCATGCTTACCTAGTATGTATGGGGCTCTGGGGTTCATTGGGTTGGGGCAATTAGGAGATGGGAAGGAGGGAGGGAGCTGAAGAGAGCTTTTAAAACAGGGTGATCCCCTTTTTGTCTGAAAACTTATTTGTTTCCAGAATCACAACTTGGTTTAGGCAATTTGCCTGGATTTTTGTGTACAGTTGAACTCTTGTTCCAGCCAGAGATGTCAGATTCTTAGTCCTGGTGTGCAGAGTTAGACTGTTGTCCTGGGATTCAGACCTAGAGGAGAGCAGCACTGAGACAGTGTTTAATCCAGGGCTTCGTGCATGCTAGCCAGTTACTCTGCCACTCACTGAGCTGTATCCCTAGGGCCCTTTCATTTTTCTAGCAGCAGGACTAGACAGAGGGAGAGCTAGCCCTTCTAAGTTAGGAAGTTAAACATTCTGTGTCTCCTGAAATGTGCCAGGGCACTTAAACTGAAAAGTGGCTGGTGGTGGTGGCTATAGAAATTGCATGTCTCGTTCACTAAAGTGATCTAACTTAAATTCCCTTCAAATGATCTGTAGGGAAATATGCAGTTAAGAAGTCACGGAGAACTGATGTGGAAGACCTGACTCCAAACCCTAAAAAACTACTCCAGATTGGTAATGAATTACGAAAGCTGAATAAAGTGATTAGTGACCTGACTCCAGTCAGTGAGCTTCCCTTAACAGCCCGGCCAAGGTCAAGGAAAGAAAAAAATAAGCTGGCTTCCAGGTAAATTCTAATGATGTTCACCCATGTGAGTAGTCTCTAGGGGGTAAGATTAGACCTTGAGATTTTGTAGAAGAGGTGACTTCCAGAAATTATTTACTAAATAGCTCTTGGAGAGAGGTTTGTTGTTTTAAGTGAAGATGGCATTTATACTTTTAGGAAAAAGTATTGGGGGTGAGGCAAACAGAGTTAATGCATTGTATTACGGTGTAACTGAAAAGTCTAAAAGGTTTTTTGATAAGTCAGGTTGACTGAAGTATATGAATAGTAAAAATCATCCATTTTAAGTATGCTATTATGACCTTGAGAAACATACCCAGCTATATAACCACCAACATGGTCAACATGAGATATATTAACATTTTCATCACCTTAGAAAATTGTAAGAACAAGTCCCTCACCCTAGGCCTTTCACAATCATTGATCTATTTTATTTTGTGTGTATGGGTGTTTTGCCTACACATATACCACTTACAGGCCTGGTGCTCCCAGAAGCCAGAAGAGGGTGTTAGATCCATAGATACTGTGTGGGTGCTGGGAATTGAACCCAAGGACCTCTGGAAGAGCAGCCAGTGCTCTGAATTGCTGAGCCATATCTCAAGACTCCATTGATCTTCCTCCTCTTCCTCCTCTTTTTTTTTTTTTTTTGTTTTTTGTTTTTTGTTTTTTCGAGACAGGGTTTCTCTGTGTAGCTTTGCGCCTTTCCTGGAACTCACTTGGTAGTCCAGGCTGGCCTCGAACTCACAGAGATCCGCCTGGCTCTGCCTCCCGAGTGCTGGGATTAAAGGCGTGCGCCACTACCGCCCGGCCTTTTTTTTTTTTATTATTATTAACAGTGTCTCATAGTGATCTGTCCTTTTCCAGAATGTCACATGGAATGTACCTGGGTTGTCTGAGTCTGTCACATGGGCTACTTGTTTCTTTTATTACTGAATAGTCAGTCTTTATAGAAATATTATACAATTTATCTCCTTTCCAGCTGTGAAGGACCTTTGAGTTCCTTCCAATTTTTAGCATGTTTGAATAAAACTGCTGTAAACATTGACTTACAGGTATTTGTGTGGGTATGAGTTTACATTTCTTTTGGATAAATGCCCAGGTCTATATAGTCTATCTTTGTAAAAAAAACTATCCATCTTGCTGTCTTCCAGAGTGGTTGAGAACTGTTCTCCACCCACCATGACAGATAGGACTCTGCTTGCTTCGCATCTCTAACAGTTGGGGTGTTGTCTGTTGCTGCTTGCTTAATTTTTTAAAAGTCACTTTAATAAGCAGCTTTAGTTTTTTAATAGCAGCTTTAGTTTTTGAATGTGTGCTTAATTTTTAAAAGTTGATTTGGATAAATGGTGATGTGTGCTTTATAATTGAGTTCTTTGATAAACATCAGTAAACAAGACACTTAGAGTTACTGTTGGAAACATTTAGGGACTGGAGAAATGGCTCAGAGGTTAAGAACATTTGCTTTTCCAGGGGACGTAAGTTCTGTTCCTAGTACCCACATGGTGCTCACAACTTCTGTAAGTCCAGCTCCACGAGGATCCAATGACCTATTCTGGCCTCTGCAGGCACCTGCATACATATGGCTTTATTCTCATACAGACATACATGTAAATAAAAATAAATCTTAAAAAAAAGAAAAGAAAAGAAAACATGCCTGATGGGTGCCAGTGAGATGGCTTCAGCAGGTAAAAGTAACTTGTCTAACAAGCCTCATGAACCAGGTGCAGTGCCGAGATCCCACAGTAGAAGAGAACCAACTTTTAAAACCTGTCCTCTGACCTCCACACATGCGCTGTAGCATGTACCTGAACACACACACATACATTCTCTCTCTCTCTCTCTCTCTCTCTCTCTCTCTCTCTCTCTCTCTCTCTCTCTCTCTCTCTCTCTCGCCTTTCTCTCCTCTCCTCCACTCATGCACTCTCGCTCTCTAACACACACACACACACACACACACACACACACACACACACACACACACACACACGAAGAAGAAAATTTCAAAGAAAGAAAAGTGTTTGCTAGTAGCAAATTTTTGCTACTATCTACTATCATTTTTTAAATTTTTTTTCTTATTTAAGGAAATCTATTCTGACATCTCTTAAAAGGAAAATGAACTAATAGTAGCTCTTCCTTTCACAGAGCTTGCAGGCTAAAGAAGAAAGCCCAGTACGAAGCTAATAAAGTGAAGTTGTGGGGCCTCAACACTGAATATGGTAAATCCCAGCCTTCAGCTTCGCTTTGTCTCCTTGGTTTGCATAGTCTCCTTCCTGAGCTCTGCACACATTTGGCTCTCTATTGGTGGAAATAGTAAGGCAACTCCACGTAATTAAAAGGGAGGTTTATTTGGGGGTTTTACTTACAACAAGCAAAGGGATAGGTTACAGGGTCCAGGAGAGGTGAAGTGCAGTCCAGTGGTGGTCTCCGGAGAACTCTGCTCGGTCTACCATCCAACATCCAGGATTACCAGGAACCAAGAGAGCCAGCACATCCGGATCTCGGGTCTTAAGGGCTCCTGTCTTGGCCCCGCCTCGGGGCAGGCCCTAGGTAGGCGTGACAGTTACCTGAAGCCTCAATGGTGGTAGTACTTTCCAGGTCAAAGCTGGAAAGGCTACTCACTACAACTCTCCTCCTCTTTTGTTGTTTTTTTTTGTGGGGGGAAAGGGTTTGAGACAACACAGCCCCAGCTGCCCTGGAACTCACCATGTAGACCAGACTGGCCTGGAACTCAAAGAGATCCTCCTGCCTTTGCCTCCTGAGTCCTGGGATTAAAGGTGTGAGCCACTGCAGGGTTGGCTCTCCTCATTTGCATTTATCTATTCAGAAAGCCACATGCCCACTTAAAACAAGAAATCCACTGAAGTCTGTTTAAGGAGTATTAGGGAATTTATTAGGATATAAATTGAGGAAATACACTCATGAACACAGAACCCAGTAAACAGCTGAAGTCATCCTCTGTTCTGACTGGGAACTAATCCACCTGGCTGTCCTATCACACCAGGAAGCAGCAAGCAGGGGCCTCTCTTCCTTTCTTTTTAAGAGGTCACCTATGGGGCAAGAAGCACCACCTTCTTCCGACCATGTAGCCCAAGGTCATAGGCAGAGCAAATACCACTGCAGCCACTGTCAGTCATTGTAGTCTATGAGAGTGACTGTCTATCTAGATCTGTGGTCCCTTAGACAAATGACACCACTGTTGACATGCACTAATTCACGGTCAGGTCTTGCTTGTTGTAATTGTGTTTCTAGGTTAGCCAGTGTGGTTGACTGACTTGACTATTTCCCTTCACTTATATTTTGTGCACAGTGTAGATCTGTGTTTTTCACATTGGTTGCACATTGAAATCCATCTGTATCTATAAAAATACAGATTCCTGGACTTACTTAGATCTTCTGAATTGTATGAGAGCCTAGGAGTCCTCTTTTTCTTTTCTTTTCTTTCTTTTTATTTTTCTGTTGTTGCTGAGTGTCTCAACTCTGTAGCCTTAGCTGGCCTAGAACTTGCTATATAGATCAGGCTAGCCACAAACTTACAGAGATCCTCAGGCTTCTATTCTGTGAGTATTGGGTTAAAGGTCTGTACCATCATATCTGAGAGAACCCATATTTTTGACACTCCTCATATTCTGGGTTATTTTGTTGTTTTCTTTCTTATTTTTTTCTTACATGTTTTGAAATCTACCCCAGGATTTTGTGCATGCTAGTCACGTGAGTGTGCGACCCCTGAGCCATGTGCACAGCCCTTCCATTCTTAATGTAATAGAGTTTACTACACAATTAAAGCAAATTCTCCCACGTTAGTGACATATTCTATGTTGGTTTTTGTCTTCTAGACAACTTATTGTTTGTAATCAACTCCATCAAACAAGACATTGTAAACCGAGTTCAGAATCCAAGAGAAGAGAGAGGACCCAGCATGGGGCAGAAACTTGAAATCCTTATTAAAGACACACTCGGTAAGGAGAACATTATTAGATAACCACAGCTTGTGATGTGTGGTGCCAGAGTCAAAGAGAAGTTCTTTCATTTTAAGGAAACTCTGATATTCTCCGTGTTCTCCCCCTTCATTCCTGCCCCATCCACCCCCTACCCCCACCTCTTGCTAGGGAGTTGTCACCCTCAGTATTTTACAGGGTTCTAACAAATTACACATCTGGCCTCTCATCCCTGACCAGGTTGTACACTGTGGAGAGGAGCAGAGAGGCCAGGATGGTTGGTGGCTTGTGGGAGGAATAGCTAGGATGTAAATTTGAGATGCTACAGGGCCAGGAACTGAGCTGCAGTAAGAGTGAATCACCATGAGATCACACTTCCTGAGTGCTGCACAGTGTATTGCTGTCCCAGAAAGCCCCAAGCATGTCACGGTAAAAGGCTGGTGCTCATCTTGAGTATAATCAAAAACAGTCTCAGATGAAAAGCAGGTCCAAAAACAAGTACTGTCATAGACAGTCACTGCTGCTTCTGAAATTGCACGCAGGAAGCAGTAAGTCAGTTTACTTGACCTAAGTAGATGGATGATTTTATGTATTTGTTCAAAGAACTTCCAAGTATTCTTTTTCTTTAAAGCATCTCAGTTTTCATGTGTTAGTTTGAGGGAGAACCTAATATCATAAAATATCATACTTTTTACTTTTTGGTTTTTAATTTAAAAGCTTTTGCATATCCATAAGTGTGTGTTCCCTTACACTAGACAGACAGTTTGACCTGTTACAAAGTGCTTGGCACACATTTTCTTTTCTTGACTATCCTGATGGTATTTCTCCTTCTCTTCTGGCATAAAATATTTTTGTTAAAGAGCTGATCCCTGAATTAGTGTTTCTTGGTGGGTGGTTTGTTACTCTTTCCTAGATACGTAAGAAACCCCTTGGTTTCTGGGTTACTTGGCTTTGCCCTGCTTCTTTCTTCTGGGGACGCCTGAGCACCTGTATGTCAGATCTCCCTTGCTCATCTCTGCTCTTTGTCACTTCTTCTTGAACCTTTTTATCTCATTTCGTTTTTCATTTTCACTTTCTTTTAGTACTCATGTCATATTGTGTGTGTAGGGGGTGTATGTGTGTGCGTGCGTGGTTGTTGTTGGTTTTTCATTCTTTTAGGGGTCTGCCACCCAGCTCCCAAGTAAATCACACACAGAGGCTTTTTCTTACTATGAATGCCCGACCTTATATTGACTTAGTTTCTAGCGGGCTTTCCTTAACTTTACTTATTCTGTCTACCTTTTGCCTCTGGGCTTTTTCCATTCTCTTTACTTCTGTAAATTTTACTCTTCTTCCGTGACTTGCTGGTTGTGTAGCTGGGTGGCTGGCCCCTGGAGTCCTCCTCCTTCTCTGGCTCCTCTTAGATCTCCTTTTCCAGATTTCTCCCTCTATATATCCTCTCTGCCTGCCAGCCCCGCCTATCCTTTCTCCTGCCTTGCTATTGGCCGTTCAGTTCTTTATTAGACCATCAGGTGTTTCAGACAGGCACAGTAATACAGCTTCACAGAGTTAAAAACAAATGCAATAGAAACCAAAGTAACACACCTTAATATTCTACTACAGTGCACGCATGTACGTTCTGGACATGGAAGTCAGGGTCTCAAATAACGCTCAGCAAGACGACCACCCCTGAGGCTTAGCCTCACCTCTTCTTGCTGCTTTTATTTATTTATTTTTTTAACTTAAGGAATTTTCCTTTTATTTTCTGTGTTCTGTGTTTACCAGGACAGAGGACAACTTGGAGGAGTGACTCTTTCCTACCACATGGGTCCTAGGCATCAAACTCAGATTGTCAGACTTGGCAACGAACACCTTTACTCACTGAACCATCTTACCATCTCCCTTCCATTTTTTGAGGGTCTTTCTATGTAGTCCATGCTGACCTCAAACTCAATCCTCCCTTCTTCATGTCTTCTGTTGTTGTTTTTATAATTATCTATTTGTGTGCGTGTATATATATATATATATATATATATATACATACATATGTATATATATGTATATGTGTGTGTATATATATGTGTGTGTGTGTGTGTGTGTGTGTGTGTGTGTGTCCCATGACATGACATGAGTGTGGTGGTCAGAGGACAACTGGCACCATGTGGGATCCATAAATGGAACCCAAGTTTTTAGTCTTGGTGGCAAGTAACTTTATACACTGAGCCATCTTACTCTTCCTCTTTCATGTCTTATGTCATTTTCTTTTTTGTTGTTGTTTGTTTTTTTTGAGACAGAGTTTCTCTGTGTAGCTTTGTGCCTTTCCTGGAACTCGCTCTGTGGCCCAGGCTGGCCTCAAACTCACAGAGATCCGCCTAGCTCTGCCTCCTGAGTGCTGGGATTATAGGCGTGCGCGGCACCGCCACCGCCGCCGCCGCCGCCACCACCACCACCCAGCCTGAAAATTTTTTATTTAAACAATTAATTAGCGCTGGGCGGTGGTGGCGAACACCTTTAATCCCAGCACTTGGGAGGCAGAGCCAGATGGATCTCTGTGAGTTCGAGGCCAGTCTGGTCTAGAGGGAGATCCAGGACAGGAACCAAAGCTACATAGAGAAACCCTGTCTCGAAAAACCAAAATAATAATAATATTATTATTATTATTATTATTATTAATTAGCACAAACAACATACTAGGTTTTGTTAGGGCATTTTCAAACAGATTTGTTGTTGATTCTCCTCTTCCCTCCTCCTCTTTCACATTCCCCTTCTACTCACTGCTCATGGCTGCTTTTCCATTTTCATGTTGTTTGTGTCCTGTTGTTCTCTCCCACATCCTGAACCCCTCTTTTCCTCCTCTCAGTTTCAGAGCCAGTACCTCCTCCACTCACCCCCACTCCCATACATCCATATAGACATAAGCTAGGATTAACATGCAGTCATGAGGCTTTGGCTTTCTGAGTTACCTTGTTTAACAATGCTCAACAGATCCATTTTCCTATGGTTATCATGATTTCAGTTTTCTTTATAACTGGACAAATTTTACTGTGTACATTCAACACCTTTCAGTGTCCATGTGGCTAGGTTCAGACTAGCGTTTCTGGCTTCATGGAGGTCACCGTTTTCAGTGAATGTCAGCTTGCTCTCTGCAGTCTCTGTGCTGTTTTGTCTGGTCCATCTCGTTCTTTCATACGTTTCCAACGTTCTTATCAGTTTCATTCCCAGCCCTTCCTTCTAGTACCAGTGCTTCTTGCTACTAGCAGCTACCTGGCAGAGTTCTGAATGGGCAATTTTTTTTAAATGTTCTTTACATCTTTCTTTTATTCAATGCTTACAGCTTAATTGAATAAAATCCCTATGGCTTCATCTCCACATCTTGATGACCTCCTGTGCTTTCCATGAAATTACCTATTAACTACTTCAGATTTTTTATTCTCAAGTCATTGGTTCCTTTTGGTTTGTCCTTCATAAGGAGACCTCTTCTCAAAGAGAGGAAGTTGACAGAGGTGTGTCTCCACCAGGGACTTCTAACTCCTGAGCCAAAGTGATCCTCTTTTTTCAACTTCCTGAGTAGCTCAGCTTTTCAGCGGTAGATTTTGTGGAGTTTATTTTGTTCTTTTGAGAACAGGATCTTGCTATGTAGTCATGGAGGGCTGAGATTTCAGGTATGCACCATGCCTGGCTACTTGTTGTTTTATGTGGAGAAATGGAAATAAGTCTCTACTACCACAAATGTGGAGGTCAGAATTACTTGAGTTCATGTGTTCAAGACCATCCTGATCATATATAAGGAAAAGTCATCATAAAAAAATTAAGATGAGTAAATAAACAATTGCCTCACAACTATCATCCCAGAATCTCTATAAAGTTAGATGTGTTTGGGGTTTCTTTGTATTAATTACTTTGTTATTAATTCTTTATATTAATTGTTATTAGTTGTTATTTGTTATTTATATTAATTAATTCTTTGCTTAGAACACTTGGGAGAGGCTCTTTGGCTAATGACATTTTCTTCTGGAAGTCTTATACCTCTTTTATAGAAAGCTGTACATTACAGCCTCTTCTGAGTCAGTTTGATCATTATATAGTCTAGAAAATTCTCCTTCCTCCAGAACCTTAAATTTACTAAATTTGAGCAAAAGTAGTAGTTTACCCATGGTAGGTGTTCCATTTTCATTCATACATACACACGTGGCTGTGTCCATACATGTGTGTTGTGCTGTTCTTTGTTTCTTGGATCAATTGGTTATATATTGTATACATTTTTCCTGGAGAGACATGAAATAACACCTATTCAAGCTAGATGGGCACCAATAACAGAACAAAGTAATAATTTCCCACAAATCCATCTTGGTGAACCAGTAAGTTTATTTGGCTTAGAGAGGATGAGTTAGAGGTTGCTTGCAGAAACATTGGTTACTTCTAGACAGCTGTTATCATCACAGAATCCCACTCCATTATGGTGTTTACCTCCTGGAAGCTGCATCATAGAGGCAGAAGTGGAGGCAAGATGATCAGAGTTCAAGGTCATCCTTAGCTACATTGAGAGTTCAGGGCAGCCTGTGCTACACAAGACCCTGTCTCAAAAAAAAAAGAATAAAATAAAATTCCTTCAGAGATAGGAAGTACTTTGGTTTTACTAGATCTTCTGGTTTATTACTAGTATTATTTGTTGAGATTTTAACTACCAAAATATATTATTACAGTTTGGTATTTTGTGGGCATCTGAAAAATGTGTTTTCTGTTCTCTGTCAAGATTCCCAAGTATGTTTTGTTGACTCGTGTTCTTAATCAGGTCGCCTTTCCTTTTTATGTTGTCTTCCTCCTTGCCTGTGGGTACGTAAATTCTGAATACATCTGAGAAAGGCTCTCATAAATGTGTTTTGAGTTTCACCTCCTATTTTGTTTTTGCTTTTAAATGCTCTATGTTTGAATAGGAGTTAGTACTACTAGATCTTCATTTGCTTTTAGGATTCGAATCCTACAGTGGAAGAGTAGCAAGAAATAGTACAGTGTATGCCTGTATTTCATTGACCTCATTCTACCATTGGCTGATATTTTACTCTATTTGTTTTATTTCTGTTCCTTTGTGTATTTGGGGGAATATTTGGAGTTAACTTGTAAGTATATCATGATTCTTTATTCCTATTTCAGCATACGTCTCTTAAAAAAAACAAGGATTTTTTTTGTTGTCGTTGTTTTATTTGAGATAGGTCTTTCTATGTAGCTCTGGCTGTCCTGGTACTTGTTATGTAGACCAGACTGGCCTCTGACTCATAGGTGCCGGAACTAAATGTGTACAGGACTACATCCAGCAAGTATATCTTCTTAGCCACAGTCCCAGCAGTATATCTAAATGTATGAGCACTGCTGTGATCTCCAATATGGAACCCAAGCTTATATGCATGCCTCTGCCTGCTCAGTTATCCTTTTACATCGTGTGTGTGCGCGCGCGCGCGCGCGCGCACGCGCTCTATTTGAGAGTGACTCATTAGATTTAATTATATCTCTTTTTGTCTCTATTAATTTCTCAGCCTTTTTTCTTTTTAAATGAAAATTCTAAGTAATTGGTTCTCTTAAGTGTCCCAACATTTGGATTTGTTTCTTCATCTAAGGTGAAGTGAAATTGTGTGTGTGTGTGTGTGTGTGTGTGTGTGTGTGTGTGTGTGTGTGTTTAGGTGCACACATATGCACAGTGCACATGCATATGTTGTAGGGGCTGTGTGGAGGCCAGAGGTCAACCTCAGATATCTTTCCTCGGGAGTCATCCACCTTGTTTTTTTTCTCACTATGGTCTGGTTTCACGGATTAGGCTAAACTGGATGACCAGCAAGCCCCAGGGATCCTCCTATCTCCACCTCTGTAGCTCTGGGATATATAAACACATGCCACCAAGCCCATCTTTTTACATGGTTGCAGTCTAACTCAGGTCCTCATGGTTGTGCAGTAAGTGATTCACTGGTTGAGCCCAAGATAGAGTTTTTTTTTTTTTTTTTTCGAGACAGGGTTTCTCTTTGTAGCTTTGCGCCTTTCCTGGAACTCGCTTTGGAGACCAGGCTGGCCTCGAACTCACAGAGATCCGCCTGGCTCTGCCTCCCGAGTGCTGGGATTAAAGGAGTGCGCCACCACCGCCCGGCTAGAGTTACATTTTTGACAAGAATTTACATAACTCTCCCATTCCATTAGCCAAGAGCACGGTGTGAGTTTGTCCTATTAGTGGTCATCTGGACCTTGACTGAATAGTTAAGGTGGCATCGATATCTTTATAATTTGTTACATGTCTTATAATCAGTAATTAAATCAGTGATTTCTGTTTCCATTCCATTTTATTTTTCTTGTGTGTGTTTCACCCTCAGACAAGGTCTCACTATGTAGCTCAGGCTAGCCTTGAGCACATGATCTTCCTGCCTTAACCACTTGAGTTCTGGGATATCCAGCATGTGCCACCATGCGTAGTTTCATTTTCTTTCATACTTAAAAAAAATTCTTATACCTGCTTAAGGATTAACATTAAATATTTCCCTGGCTATCCAAGATGAATAGGATGGAGAAGTCAGCATACTTGGGCTGTTCCTAATTTCTTTCCCTCTACTATTCTACCTTTTCTTATTCATTCATTTTTATTTAAAATAAAGAAAAAGGAATTTAAATTATATACAGTCATTTTAGAAATCAGATGTATCTTTCATACTTGTAGTTGTAGTTGTGTGTGTATCCACCACAGAACACGGTGAGGTCCAAACAGTTGAAGGACACAGGAGGCAAACTCATAGGCTCAGGAAACAGTACCTGCCAGCAGGCCTGGGGTTCCTGTGGGTATTGCTGCGTGTCATCTACCACTTTACAATGCTTCATGACTGTTGGTGTGGGTCTCCTTAGGAGATAAAGTCTGCCATGTAGGATGGTTTTCTGGGCTTCAGCAGCAAGTAGTGGAGCCCTTGTTTGGGGCCAGTCTCATTGTTTCAGACTTCTTCCCTGTCCTTTATGCCCTCTCCATATTTGTATTTTAAAGTGTGCCTTTTATTCTCTTCAGGTCTCCCAGTCGCTGGGCAAACCTCAGAATTTGTTAACCAAGTGTTAGGGAAGACTGCTGAAGGCAACCCCACTGGAGGCCTTGTAGGACTAAGGATACCAGCATCAAAAGTGTAATCAGCCTCATTGGACCACTGGTCAGAAATGTCTGTTTTTGTCACGTTATCCGTTGTAAATTTTCATTCTGTTTTGCATGTCAATTAGCATTATGTAAACATTTATAATTAGGTTACATTGTTTTAAGAACTTGTAGCATAAGTGAAGCATGATCCAAAATACTTGATTATTGCATTTTCAGAGCATAAACCAGTGACCCTGCTGCTGGCATTGGAAAGGAAGCTCACATGTTAAGTAAATGTGAGGTACAGATTGTAAACATCTATTAAAGCAAAACGTTTTGGGAGAATGAATATATGAGTATAATGCTAAGTATTAAGGCGGGTTTATGCTCTGAACCACACAGAAATACCGAGGAAGCATTTTTTCCAAGTCCATTTAGATTGTTTTTAGAATGACTGCTTTTTTGTTCTAATTTCTCACAGCCATTAATCTCACTTGTACATGGCGCACCTAGTACTCATGTGTGTACCATGTTTAGATGTTTATTTTTAGAGCTCAATATGATATATATAAATACATATATATATAAAAATTGTCTGTGCAAGTAAGAAAAAAGCATATTCTTTGTGCCTTGTATTTTGGGGAAACTCTAAAACTGGTAATATTTTGTATGATGAAAACCCTAATGAGGAAAAACAAGATATATAGATGAGAAAATTATGGGGTTTAAATGTCTTTTTGTTCCAACTCTTTTTCAGATTTTTTGAATGTATATAGGACTATGTTGAAATGTAGATATATGCCACAGAGTCTGTGTATTGTATAAAAAACAAAAACAAAAAACAAACAAAAAAAGATGGCTCTAGAAAACTCCTATTTCGGTACTTGACCGGAAGAAAATACTTGCACATTATTGCGATTGTTTTATTTTTTCTACCAAAGACAAATGCAACTGGTATGGCAGACTGCCAGTCTAAGTAAAGTTTTGCACAGCTTACATGATACTGTATGAATGTATAAAAAAAAAAAGAGAAAACATTTAAAAGGTCAGGGTTAGGGATCTTACTCAACTGTGAATTTTATTTCTGTTTGGGTCCAATTATCTACAGAAGGAGCATCCGTACATACAAATATTATTTTGCTGTTCCTCTAGTTTGCTTCCATGGTAGATAAGTTGGTGGCCATTTAGGTGTCTTTTATTTCTGCACTTATTGTAGGAAATTTTAATATATTTCATATTAGTAAACTATTGATAAAATAGTTTTTGACTTTGAAAATTAAAGTTTATTTAGCTTATTGTAGTATACTTCCACCAAACAACCAAAATACAGATTATTTTTATTGTATTATGTATATATATATAAAAAGAAAAAAGCTAAAAATATCTAATACTTTAGTTGCCACTTTTCCAATTGATGTATTATTGTGCATGTAATATTTTCAAAGATCAACACAAGCTTAAAACAAATTTATAAATTTTTATATTTTTGTACAGGTATTTTCTTCAGACTTACATGTGACTTATCTTCTGTAGTTTCTAGACTTGAGAAACATGAACACGTTTAGTTTTAGGTGCTCTTCTTTGCTCACATAAGCGGCTGTATTAGTCAGTTTTTAACTGTGCTCAAGCTTTACCTCTTGGTGAGAAACTCCTATGTCAAGGCAGCGCTATAACCTCCCACAGGTCCTGCCATCTGTCTTTCTTGATGGTTTTATCTCAAATCTTGTTTGGAACTATGAAAACTGGTGGCTTAAAAAGTAAAAGCAAGCATATCTAGAAGAAAAACCTGAAATTGCAGACATAGTTGCTGTTTCTCCATTACCCATTGATAGAACTAAAGTAGTTGTCCTCGGTCCTCACAGTAGTTTCTTTTCCTTTCTCTTCCTCTCCCCATTTGTAAGCTATAGCACATGAAGGTTCAATTCTAGAACACAGTAACAATCCAAAAATGTGTCTTACTTGCCTCTTTGACATCATGAAGCATAAGAATCCAAGAATTGTCTTGACATGTTAGCTGAACTGTGACAAGGCTCCCATATGTTTGGTGGAAATGTACCTGTTAGTGCACTCACCCTAACAGACAATGAGCTCATATCTCATGCTTAGTAGATTTCAGGTTTTTACTTTTTAGATGGAAGAAACAAAGCATAGGTTCACAAATGGAAGTATATGAAGTCTTGACAGTGTATATTTGGTAAATTGAAAGTGTTCCAGAATATGGCAGTTTTGCAGTCAAGTGAACATCGCTTCATAGTAGCGATTCAGTTGCTGAAGTTTATAAAATTGCCCCTTTATAGCTGCCCTGTTAGGAATTCTGGTTTTTTGATACCCTTTTATTGTCTGCAAACCAGAATTTGATTTTTTGGTCTTGCATTTCAAAAGACTTTGAATCTGTTTAGTAGATTCCATACCTGTGCATTTCAGTGTTTGATATGTACTACTTAAGTTAAATAGTTGAAAGCCTTTAAATAGTTGAGCTTTTTAATGTTGACACTTTATTTTGTACCTATTTATATATGTATGTATATCTTAGAAAAGCACTTTGTTATAAAATTGCATTTTATATGATTCCTGCCATTTGCTGCTAAACCTGGGCTGGTCAGAACGCTGCAGCGATACTTGATCTAAATAAAACCTGGCAGTAAAATGTAGAGTGCAAGTTAAATCCTCTTGCTGTTTAAGATGACATAGGCAAGCTGTGCAGCTTTACATTTTAACCAGGGGACTCTGTGGCATTTAAAACCGTCTAGAAATGGTTGTACTTTTAATGCCAGTAATGATCTGCTTCCTCTATTGTTGTTAAAATACCTACACCTAGTGTATCACAGACAGTTCTCATGAGTACGTAAAATCCCCAGCAGTTGTACATGTTCTGTTTTTTAAAATCGTGGCATGTATTTTTGGGTGGAAATCATTAGAGTGAGAGCTGTCTAAAAGTTTTCTGTGTTCATACATGGTATACAGATAGCTCATGAAGTCCAGAACCTTCCCGTAAGTGAAGGCATTGTGAATTCTCCTCAGATAAACCCATTGTTCCAAAAGCAACCATAAACTGACTCTAGTACTACTACAGTAAAAAAGTAACAACGAACCTTCTGCTTCCTGGTTTCAGATACACTGGATTCTTTAGTCTGTGCCCACATGCGAGCACGCTGCCGGGCTGCTCCTGTTCAGGTCGTGTGTGAGTTTTCTGTCAGTGTGGTTGCCTGCTGTGCTGTACCATGTGTGGGTTCTTGTCCTTTCCGCGTCTTTCATGAGAGATTTGGGTGTGGCTTGATCTTGTGCCTTACTTGTACACTTAAATGAAACATCTTCATTCCCTCCTGCTTCCCAAACCTTAACTTTGTCCTTCTTGTAAGAGAATCAGAACTATTCCAGAAGCATCATGAAGGATTTCAGATGGGCGTGGTTCCATAGTTCCCGCTCTTTGTAGTTATTTTATACTTGTATGAGAGACCACTTTTGAATGATCTTTGAATAATCTTGCTACATCCCTTCTCTGGCTTTTGTGAAGTTGTCATGCGTCTCTCTGATGCTTGACTTCATTTGCTTCTTAGCAAGAGTCTGCATTACAGAAAGGTGTGTTCATTTCATCTGCTTGAAAGTGACTATTTTGTTTTCCAGAACTTTTTGGGAGAAGAGTACCCATTTTGTTTGTTTTTTAAAACAGATGACAAGTCTCTTTAAAAGAAACAGAAGTACAGTACTTTTGAAATACAATGCTATTGGTATGAATTTCTCTTTTATATACAATATTCATACAATTATCTGATGTTTGCCTTCATTAATAAAGCTGTTAGTTTATTCACCAAAATGTCAAGAATGGATGTGCTTTTCTTTATTCCATACATTTAAATAATACTGTAGCTGCTAAGATTTAGTTAACTTCCTAAGAAATTAATTCAAGTTGCCTTCAGCAAGAATTAAAAAAACTCATGTTCCTTTTCTTTATATAGTCTTCCTAAAACTCTGTTCATCTACTTTCTAATTAATTATGTGACAGAATGTTAGCATCTCTCCACATCTTGAAACTTGAATTTTGAGAATGCATTGAATTTCAGTGTTAATGGAAAAGGTCTCAACTATGTTTCTAGTGGAGTCTTTTGTGGAATACCATTTCCCATGGAACTGCGACCACTTGCACAACTTTGCACAGAACTGCAGTCTTGTTCTTCCCTGGATCGTGACAAATGAGTCTCACACAGTGCCGTAATACTTGTGGATTCTTTCGTGATCTTTGTCATCTTAATAAGGGCATTATGAGAAGATGACTTCATGGTTTTTGTTTTTGTCTTTTTTAATATTTCAAATACAGTGGGATGTAACAATGAATGTCAGCTGTAGGGATGGTGGTTTCGTTTTAAGGAATAAGCATGTTGGGGGAATGTGATGAAAATGTACTACTGAGAGTTCCACACTTCCATAGGCAGGTGGGATTATGTGTTGAAGCATAGTCCCCGTGCTTAGTAAACAGAAATAGAAATGACACCTAGGAACTGCACTATGCCAAATTGCCATTTTGTTTTCAAGAGACTTTTGGAGGTGGTAACAAGGTAACAGAACCTCAAAGCTACTTCCAGATAGTATTTTGGAATGGAAGAGTCAGTGGCTAGTGAAGAGCACCCAGGTTTGTCTCCGTGTGCCAAGTGGGAACCGGGCTTGCCTCTTCCATGACAGTGTAAACACCTGCTGAAGTTGACTCAGTTCCGGGTGCCGGGAGTGGGACTGATTCTGTGTCTTGCCCTTTGCCCTTTGTTTTTCCAGAACTTAATAACAAAACTGTGTATGTGTACTGTATCAGCCTTCCCACCACATGTTTGATGACACTGTACTCCATTGCCTGCTATTGTCTTCTTGCCCTAGAGTCTGTCCTATAGCGTAGCATTTGTGGTTCAGTGACTCCGGAGCTGCCAACACAGAAGGGCAAGAATACCAAGTGTTTGTGCCTATGGTTTGGCAGCCTCTTCAAATAGTTGCGCTTAGGATCCTGTCTGTGATATGATCATAAATACTCCGTAGTTTTGTTTATTCCCCACCCCCAGCTGGAGCTGTGACACTTTATTGGATTCAGTCTTGTCTCTTGTCTAGAAAGAATTGTATCTTGTTCACGCATGAGCTGTTTAAAAATGATTCAACGTTGGTTAATAGTCGTGCAGTTTTCCTTTCAGGAGAAGGCCATGCACAAGTCGCTTTGTTTTCTGTCACCCTCTAACCTGTCAGCACTTGTAGTCAGACACAGAATCATCAGTGTATGCAGCACCCTTTGTAATTTAAAATAAAAAATATGAAAAGAAAAGGTTTTGAATCGTTTGCCTCATATTTTGTCTTTTCTCCTTTCTGTTGCCTGCAACACAGCAGCCATCCGTTCCTCAAGACAAGCTGCCCTTCAGAAGTCTCCAGCTGCACAGAGCAGGGGAGCCAACTGTGCTGCCTCTTTGGTGCACAGAGAGCTAAGGGTTATTGACACTGTAAGCTGGGCTTTTAGGATTTCAGTGGAATTTAGCTGTATCATAAATTTATTTGAGAGAGACATTTGCTTTCTTTGTAAACAGTAGTTTATACTTAATTTGTCCTTTGATAATTTGGACAAGGGATTTCTCCAAAGAAAACAAAGTATCAAAACAGTCTTCAGGCTAAGGGAGCTGTATGCCTAAGGCCTACACCAGGGGGACCTGACTGGGTGAGGGGGGCATAGGAGTGGATGTTCTTTAGCAGCAAGCATCTGTTGAGAACCTACTCTGCCAGGATGTGTGGGTAGGTGCTGGTTACAGAGTGATTGATAGAGATCATTGCAGAATCAGTCCACCAAGGGGAGTGGCATGTGACAGGATGGCAGAAAAGTTGAAGGTAGGACATCCTGTAGCAGTGTTAAAGAAGGGATGAGGGCCGTGGAGGTACAGGTTTGTTAAAGTGCCAGGCAAGTGTGAGGACCTTTGTTCAATCCCCAGCAGTCAGATGAATAGTAAGTTGTAGTGTAAATACTTGTATCCTCAGCAGGGAGGTGGAGATAGATCCCTGGGGGCCCACAGCCTAGCATGCCTAAACTAATGAGAGACCCCATCTGTCGAACAGGACAGCACCTAAGGGATGACAGTCGAAGTTGACCTCTGACCTACAATAGACACATAAGACTTGACTTTTCCTTTCGCTATTTGAGTGATACTGAGGCCATTTTTTTTTAAAAGGGCAGAGTTAGATGTGTTTTCCTGTAGGCCAATTGTTGTTGAAGATTTACCTCATACAGTGTTGGGAACTCTGAGGAGCCAGGGGAGCTGGGTCTTCAACAATATCAATGAGATGTATCAACTGGTGAATTCTTCAGCCATAGTGCAATGAAGAATTTGAAGTAAAAACATTAATTGGGAAGTGCTGTCCTAATTCAGCTAAAAGATTGAAAATTAGAAAGTAGTAGATGTCCTTAGGTATAGAGGTGGCACCCCATAAGCCTTGCTAGTTGTTGTCCTGTTAAGAGTACTTGGCTACTACTGTCATGCCCAGTGAGGCTGGTGACCTTGTCCCTTCTACAGAGGAGTCCAACAGTGCTCAGATGAAGGGACTAGCCCTACATCCAGCTTATGGTAATAGAGGTTCAGTTCACACTCCAGTCTGCTTGATGCACTCTGAGAACAATTCCTACTCATCTCAGATGAACCAGGCCAAATCATGAGCAATATTTAGAAGAACGTCCACGTCGAAGGGAAATAACATGCTTAGAATCTGAAGGTAAAAAAGATCCAAAGCCCATTCAGTGTAGTCAACAAAGACATGGATAAAAGAAGTAAAATAGGGTTGGAACAATCATGGGAGGGTGTGTGGGTACCAGACTGTGCACCTGCCCCTTCAGAACAGCCTCTAGCTCAAGGTGCAGAGTTGTGCTGTGTTATTGGAACAAAGTATCATGGAAAGTAGAGACATGGGGAGCTGCTTGCTCTGGCTGCCAGAGGCTGCTTGGTTGCATAGGGATTTTCAGCAAGAAGGATGGTAGGTGAGGGTCCAAAGGCTGAAAATCTGTCCAGTACTGCCTTTGGGGGATTCTCCAGTGTCCTAAATGGAGAACTGTACTCAGAACATTACAGTGATTTGAATGCCAATCTATTTCTTTAAATGTTTTTAATCTTAAAATGGTGATTGGAATAAAGAACAGAAAATGTACAAAACTGAAAGAGATTACAGTGAAGAGCACAGAAGAAATTTGAGTGAATTAGAATACACAGCAGGCTTCAGAACAGGACCTGCCAGCTGGAAGTTAACTGATGCTGAGTCACATTAAAAATGTGATACCATCTGAACAAAATAAACCAAGAGTGTGTTAAAATTGGGAGAAAAAAATAGCTGAAACATGTTGGGGTTGGGAGAGGATAAATCAAGTATTTAATCCTATCAGAAGACTCCATATAAAGCCTGCCATTTAGTGCATGAATGGACAGGCAAGTAGATTAAAATAATGAGTTTAGAAATAGACTCAAATATATGAAGAAACAGCACATCAGTGTGGCATCCAGAACCAAGGTTAAAAAGTTGGGCCCTTGTCTAGTGTTGGAGCCACTGAGTAACCTAGAAAATGTCAAGTTGGTTCTGCATCTCACACTGTGAGCCAATGTATATTTCAAAATGAGTAAAGATAAAGGTCTTTTTTTAAAAAAAAAATTATAAGCACTAGAAGGGAATGTGGACAATCTTAAATCCTTGGGGAGTGGAAGGATGTTTTTTTTAAACATAGACCCAAGTCCAGGAGTCATAAATAAAGACAAACTGAAATTTTAAATCATCTTTGAGGTTAAAAAGTACCATAGGCAAAGTTCAGAATTCTGCAAATTTTGCAATGAGAATACTAATAACAAAAAGGGCTCCTGGAAACTAATACGGAATAGATTGATGACCCAGTAGAAAAATGAGCAAAGTAAATGTGATAGCTTTGAAACATTTCTCAGTCTCTTTCATTATGAGAGATGCAAAATAAAGGCATTTTTGAGAAACAGAGTGGATGGTAAGACTCCCTGTGTTAGTACACCATGCTGGTGGGCTAAAGGAGATGGGCATTTCTGTCATTTTGCTGGTGCTGTGTAAGCTAATACAACCACTATGAAGAGAATTTTTTTTTTTCTATTTTGTTTTTTTGAGACAGAGCCTCAAACTCTAGTCCTGGAACTCACCTTGTAGACCAGGCTGTGTCTCCTGAGTGCTAGGATAAAGGCCCACACCACCACAACCAGAAAGAAGAGAATTATGAAAGCTGTGTAAAGTTAAAATGCATGTCTGACAGCTTCAGTGATGAACACCTGTAATTCCAGCACTTGGGAGTTTGAGTCAAGAGGATCAAGAGTTCAAGGTTGTCTGTCTACACAGGCAGTTGGAAACCAGCATGGGCTACATGAGACCCTGCCTCTGAAAAGCGAAGATAAAATACACATACCCTTCTCCTATTTCATTTGTTCTGACCTCTTCCCACTTCTGTAGCGGAACTAATCAAATGTGACCATGCAAGTGAAGCACCGAGTAGAAATGCCTGCACATACGGACTCTCAGTGTTGCTTGGTACTACGTGAATAGCAACTAGCAGGCATTGAGTTCACCACATTATCAACCCTCCAGGCAGCCTTAGGAGTGATGCTACTGATGATCATGTTAGCTTCTGAGAACCCTGGCAGAGTTGATGTACACGCCTGCCATCCAGGCCTTTGTTACTTGCAGTGAGGTGTTGAGCACCTCTTAGGAAGTGGGGCAGGGTGCTGTAGGAACATAGGCAAGTGTGGAGATGGGCTTGGACTACACCTCCTAAGGGGCTGTGTGTGCAGTTTGAGAAAAACATTAATCCAGAGCCTGGAGAGTCCCTCAGGGTGAGAGAAAGGAAGGGATAGTGGCCAGTGCTCTTGAGGACTTACTAAGAAATAATTTTAAAAAGTGCTGCCCTTCTTTGAAGTTTGCACTGACATTGTTTCTATCAAAACCACATGACACAAAACCACTCCTGCTAGATACTTGTAATCCAGTTTTACACAAAGGGCAACATCAGAGCATAGAAATGTGTAAGGAAGGCAATGTAGGCTCTGTATATGAGCCGTGGTTGTATTGATGGAGGTGTCCTAGTGATCTGCATTGAATTCTACACCTGGACAAATTTTGGTTTTACTCCATAATTCATACTTACCATACAAATTTTATTTTAAATTTTAAAGAAAAAAAGTGCAACTTTGGTGGCATCCTCATTGGTACTTTTTGTTCCTATAGAAAAAGTCACTAGAGTAGCTAGTACCTGAAAGATGGAAATGACCATTGTTGAGCGGATTTTTTTTGTTGTTGTTTCTCTAGTACTGGGGTCAGAACCCAAGGCCACGTAGTATGCCAGGAAGGCCCATCAACAAATGAGCTGTGTCCTCCAACCCTAATGGTTCTTCATAATCACTTTCACTTTTCCATTTAGTAGGAGCCGACGAGAGAAGCTGTGCGTGTTCCACGTGTCAAGGAAAAACCCAGGTCTGGGCTGGCAACCTGGTTTGCTTTGCACGGGATCTCCCGGCGCCACATTCGGAGAAGTACGGAAAGAAGGCAGGCCGGCGCCACGCGAACGCGCTCAAGTTTGGCCGCCGTCGCTCGCCATAGCCGCGTCTCCAACATGGCGGCTCCCCAGGACGTCCACGTTCGGATCTGTAACCAGGAGATTGTCAAATTCGACCTGGAGGTGAAGGCGCTTATCCAGGTACAGATTCTTAGGCGTCCGCCGGCCTCTAGCTAGCTGCCTTGATGTTCCCCAGAACTTCCGCGCAGCTTCCCAGGCAGGCGGCACTGCTCCAGGCCGGTTCCTTGGGCGCCATTCGGTCGGGTCCCCGGGATCACTGGGGACAGGCGCTTTTCTTGTGCATACTGTTAGTTCGCCCGCCTCTCGGGTATCCCCATACCCCTCTCCTGTCCCCTGGCAATACAGCCAAGGTCCGGGGCTAGCCTGCTCACCCGCTGTCTCGGCGGTAGCCCCGCCCTGCCACCGCCCCTATCGCTCTCCTACACCCACTTCCCTGTGTCAGGGGCCCGGAGGGTACCCAGGGCCGCCTGGCACGGGAGTCCTTGAACGAAGCTAATGTAACCTGGACCGTGGTTGTAATTTTTTGAATGAAGAAATCAAATAGAATGCCAAGTCCTGGGTCAGAAGGCAGGCAGTGCCGATACTAGGACCTGGACGGGGAAAGCCAGCCAGGGAAAAGCATTTTAGAGCTTCCATACTCGGTTTAACAGACGGGGAAGTGAGGCGCTTGTCTGGAAGCAGGTGTGAGTAGGAAACAGTAGTGAAGAAGGTTAACCTAGGCAAGAGTAGTGAATGTAGAAATGGCTCCTGAGTTTAGCAAAGAGCTCAAGAGATTCGGACTACAGTCTGACAGCAAGTGAAGAGGGGGTGGGGGTGGGGCTCTGCTAGTGAATGCTTGCCTAGCTGGTGCTGGCTTCCATCCCCAGTGCTGCAGAAATGGTCTGTGGTTGCTGGGATGCATGAGCCCATGTCAAAAACAGGTTGGGGAGTAGTGCTGTCTGATAAACTAGACCAACACCATACCATAGGTAGTTTATCCTAGGCCGCGAGGAAGTGTGATTTTATGCTAGAGAATAAGTGAAGACACTTGATGCAAATTTTGAGTTCTTGTGGTTACTATTAAGTAAGCATAACCCCATATGTTGCATTCTTATGGTCTTCCAGCTAGTCTAAGCATTTTATGCAGAGAAATATGACTTTGAGGTAGGTCAGATGAAGAATTGGAGGCACAGAGAACTTAGGTTTTTCAAGATTGCACTAGTAAGTTGATGTAACCAGGATTTCAATATAGTAGCCTAAGTCTAAAGCCTGCTCTAAATCTTGGCTCTAGTGATTCTGAATTTCTTTTCAGAAGCAAATTCTCAGTATCTTTAAACATTATGAGTTGCAACAGATAGATGGTTTGTAAAATCGGACTAAGTTAATTTTGTTACGTGTTACCAGGGATTGGGATTTTAGAGTTGAAGGATCTGAAGTCACACTATCTCTTAGATGCCTGTTCTTGTTGAACATGTAAGCTGCTTAAGCCTTTCATAGTGGCTGGATAGCACATTGTTAGACTTTTCAGTCAATGTTGAGTTTATCTAGCTACTTATTTATCTACACACGTATAATACATACTCTGTGTGTGTGTGTGTGTGTGTGTGTGTGTGTGTGTGTGTGTGTGTGTGTGTGTTTTGCTGACGATGAAACCCAAGGCCTCAAGCATGCTATGCAAGTGCTTGCTGTACCACTGAACTGCGCGGCCAGCCTGCTTTTATGTATTCTATTCGGTGTTTCTCTTAAGAGGGATGAGGAAAGTGATAATGATGTTTTTGCTTTTGTGCAGAGGAGAGCAGTGAGCAGGACGAGGTAGATCTAGGCCAACCTCAGTTGTGGGCTAAATCAGCTTTTCCCCTGTGCATGTCACTGACTGGAGAAAGGCCCCTCATCTCTTCAATGTCTTCTAGGATATTCGAGATTGTTCTGGACCCTTAAGCGAGCTCACTGAACTGAACACCAGGGTGAAAGAAAAGTTTCAACAGTTACGACACAGGATACAGGTAAGTGAGGCTCCAAACCTCTCCTAGCTAAAGGGTGGGTAGCCGGGATGAGAGCTTAGACCTAGACTAGCCTTGGCTTGAGAGTTGACCAGGCTCTTTACCTGGAGGCAGTAGTAAACATTGTTACATCGAGGGTGACTGGACTAACAAAGATTGGTACCTATGCACTCATTCCCTGCCTGAGTGTGTCACCAACATGTCCTGGGTGTTTTCCATGCTATGATTTTTTTTGCAGTAACCCCCTTATGGTTTCTGGAGTCACAGCTTCCATCATGTGCTCATTATCAAACCTGACTCACTATGGTGTGAGTGCTCTCTCAAAGTGAGAAGGAACCGTGTGAGTAGCAGAGCCATCCACTGCTGTGCCCTCAGGGACGGGTGCTACAAATCTGCCCATCGCTGGGTAGGGCTAGAACCACCTGGTTTTGCTGTGTGTGGTAAATGACAATGTCCCAAAACTGTCGTTCAACTCTTGGGTTGCTTAACAGATGGTCTCTTCTGTCAAGCTGGTGGAAAGTTTAACAGGTCAGACAGCTTCCAGAGCACTTCTTGGTGTTCCCTTCCTAAAGCACTTTCAGATGAGGTGATTTCTGCCTTTGGAGCTGACTTTAGAATGTCAGCACTGCTGCTGTGCCTAGGTGATTGCCCTCTCCAGCACTGCTTCCTCCATCTGAACTTTGGAAAACTATGGCTTCCTATGTGTTATATTTGTGTGTATGTGTGTGTGTCCACAGCTGTTCGTCTCGGTTGTGTGTCTTGGTGATGGCCTTTATTTGTTCTCTGTGCCACTCTTTCTGATTTGTTAGTTACACGTCTTCTCGGAGTCCCTTCTAGGAGTGGACGTGCCACAGCACTGAGTCTCTAAGCCTAACTGTGTCTGGAGGACCTGCACCTGAGCAGCCTCCCAGCCTTCTTATCTAGCTGTAATTTTTTTCTAGCCATTTCTCAATCAACAGGCATTCATTTGGGCCACTTCCCGTTTTGATTCTTAGAGCTAATTTGTTTTCTTAAAATGCCTTTCTTCAGCTTTCCAACTCCGAACTACCACTATTGCATAAGTACCTGCATGTATACCTTTTCTAATTTTAGGTAAATATCCTCGCCAATACATTTACATATTTGCTATGCTCTTACCCCTGCTTACAACCTCTCCTTAAGCATAGACGTGTTGCTGGCATCTAGCAAGGTGATAGGCCAGTGCATGACTAGCCCTGTCCTAGCCCCCATCTGCATTTCCTCAGCATTTGCACACTCTCTGTACACCTGAAAACATAGAAAGCACTTCAGTGAACGTCTCTTGTGTATTTCAACGCAGTTGTGTGTGAGTAGAAGAGAATTGGCCTGCAGCTTCTGAATATGCTATTTCCTACATAGTTGGTGCTGGGCTTGGCCGTGTGGAAATGTCTGTCTTTGCGTTTGTGTCTCCTCAGCTGGATTGGAGAGTAACAGTACACCTTTCATTTCTCCAGAGATGTCAGGTTCTCTGTGACAACTCCCAAGCAGCCTCTTCTAAGGAAACTGTACATTTCACCTTCTCTCTATCTCCCTTCTTCCTATTCACCCATTCTTCCTCTGAGATCAGTGTAGCAAAAAATAGAACACAAGGCTCTTTGTGCAGTCACTGCACTGTAGGGAATGGGAATTCCAAACAAAAAATTTCGTTCTTATAACTGGTGATATTTGCACTGCCCCCCCCCCTTTTTTTTCTTGAGACAGGGTCTCACTATGAAGCTTTGGCTATCCTGAAAGTTACTATGTAGACCAGGCTGGCCGCGAACTCACAGAGATCCAACTGCCTCTGCCTCAAGTGCTGGGATTAGAGGTGTGCATCACCATGCTCAGTTATATATATATTTTTCAATTCATGGTCAGTTATTCTTTTTTCTTCTTTAGCAATTTTGAGGGACATAAACTTGGATACTGAGCTATTGAAATGACACATATTTGTTCCAAACCAGCATATGCAAATTTATGTAGGAATGAGTAGATTGTTATCTGGATAAACTAATACGTTGATGTTTTAGCCCTATGGCTTGCTTGAAAGTAGAACTTGTGATTTGTAAACTAAAAATAGGACTTGAGGCATGAGGTGGTGTGGCATCTTTACAGCGTGTGTATGACAGTTCCATTATCTTAGGTCTGATACTGTTGGTCACGTCTGCTGTCCTTTGCTCATGGTAAACTCTTGCCTTGGCATTTGGTTATTCTGAATCATGTGCGCTCATCTTCTTCTGCATGTCTCTCCTGGAGCCTCTGCAGCCTGGACCAGAGCACATCTCTCAGTCTCCAAGGATTATCACAAGTCTGGGGACACTGTTTATGTTCATTTCTCTTCTGCTCTGTTTTCAAACCGCTCAGGAAAGATAAATCATCCCTCTACCCAAAGTCCATCACTCACCCCCAGCCATCCCCCTCAAAACCAAAACAAAATAAACCAGACAAGTGTCCATGCTTGTGCTCTGCTGGTGAGTGGACATCTCCAGACTGTCTTACTGCTGCTGGAAGTGTCTGCGGGTCCTGGGTTTGTGATGCCTTCAGTTCAGGGTCAGCCTCAGGTGGCCTTAGGCTTCAGTGTTATGTTCACAAACCCTCAAAGCTCTGTTGGAATAGGTACAGAAGTGGGCAATTTTGGAAACACGTAATAGTGTGGTATCCTTCTGGTTTTGCATTGGGATCAGTGGCTCCTGTGTTTTGCGGTTTATGTTTTTTATTTTAGGCAGTCTCAAGGCTGTAGGAGTGGTAACGCCTGCTCCAGCCAGGGCAGCCATGCTAGAGCTGACCACTCCAGCACCGTTGCCCGCTCACCTTTGCGCTGCTCATATTTCCTTCTCTTTCTTGCACACTTGCCTGTATGTTTTAAAAGGGTATTTGATTGTTTTGGACTTGCTCCCTCCCAAGTGTCTGTTGTAAAGGATGCTTCAGTTGTCTTTGTGTGTCCCTGCTAGAAACAGAAGCACTCTGTCTCCCCTCCAGGAGCTTGAGCAATCAGCAAGGGAGCAAGACAAGGAGTCGGAGAAGCAGCTTCTACTTCAGGAAGTGGAGAATCACAAAAAGCAGATGCTCAGGTAGGCAGGGTAACCTACAGCCCTCTCTGCTGGGTCACTTGCTGGCCAGGAGGCTTGTACATGTATTTCTCTAATAAGCCTGGCTTAAAGGTAATGTAGTGGTGTCATTAACACACACAGGTTGAAAGTTCTTTAGATCAGTAAGTTTCAAATGTAGGAGGGAAAGGAGATAAGTAGAGTCTGCATGGACATTTGGAGCTGTGTGTGTTTACAGTGCTCATGGTGTTTATATGTTTGCAGAGTTAACCTTATACTGTACTGTATATACTCAAGTATTTTAAAATTTTGTAGGTGTGGAAGCTGTGTGTAGAGTCGGTTCTTTCTTGATATTTTAATCTTTTTTTTTTTCGAGACAGGGTTTCTCTGTGTAGTTTTGGTGCCTGTCCTGGATCTCACTCATGTAGACCAGGCTGGCCTCGAACTCACAGAGATCCGCCTTGCTCTGCCTCCCGAGTGTTGGGATTAAAGGCATGCGCCACCACCGCCCGGCTCTTTCTTGATGTTTAATGAGACCAGGGGTTGGAACTCTGCTTCTCAGGCCTGCAGACAAGCACCTCTACCATCTGAGCCATCCCGATGGCCCTGGTTCTTTTTTTTTTTTTTTTTAATTTTCCGGAGCTGAGGACCGAACCCAGGGCCTTGTGCTTGCTAGGCAAGCACTCTACCACTGAGCTAAATCCCTAACCCCGGCCCTGGTTCTGTTGTTTATTTATTTATTTATTTTATTTATTTATTTATTATGTATACAGTGTTCTGTCTGTATGTATCCCTGCAGGCCAGAAGAGGGCGCCAGATCTCATTACAGATGGCTGTGAGCCGCCATGTGGTTGCTGGGAATTGAACTCAGGACCTTTGGAAGAGCAGCCAGTGCCCTTAACCACTGAGCCATCTCTCCAGCCCCTGTTGTTTATTTTTGAGACAGGGTCTCTTGTATTCCAAGTTGGCCTCAAACTCAACATGTAGCTGAGAATAACCTTGGATTCTGATCTTACTGTTTCTACTTCCCAGGTGCTGGGGTTACAGGCATGTGCCACCATATGTTTATGTGGTGCTTAGAATCAAAACCAGGTTTTTGTGCATGCTAGACAAGCACAGCACCAATGCAGCTACACCCCTACACCCACTTTTTATATATTTGAAAGCAAAAATGTAATTACTTTTGGGGGCTAGAGAGATGGCTCAGCAGTTTCAAATGTGTACTGCTCTTCTAGAGGACCAGAGTTCAGTTCCTAGCACCCACGTCAGGTGGCTTACAACTGCCTGTAACTCTTAACTCCAGTGGGATCTGATGCCCCTCACCTTCATAGGCAGTTATGTGCACACGTGTGCGCGCATACACACACACACACACACACACACACACACTTCAAATAATAAAAAGTAAACTTTTAAAAACACTGTTATAATACAGGGTATTTTTGTAGTACAGGGTAAATTTTATTTATTTATTGGTATGAGGAAAGCTCACAGGAATTGAGCCTACTCAAGATGGACGAAAATTTAATTTTCAGTGTGGTGTTATCTCAATGATGCACTAAAATGTAAATAAGTTTATGTTAGAATTGAGATTTTGGTGACATTGCAGCTGTATGCTAATTTTTGATTATAAAGCAGTATGTGACATTTCTTAGTCTCTAAATCAGGGAATATAACTTTTTTAACAATGTCTGGCAACATGAATCATTGTTTCTCCCTTCAGGTCGGACTTTTGTACTATAACCCAAAAGTCCTGTCTTGTTATTGCAGACACACCTTTCCAGCCCCATTGTGTTCGAGGCCGTCTCAGTAGTCTCTGCTGCATCAGAATTCCCATAGGTTTTCCTTTGTCACAGCTGTTTGCTTGTGGTTTCCTTTCTGAGATGCGTTACTCTGCAGTAGCAGGCTCATTAACAGCAGCTGGTGACTACCACCCAGCTGTTAAGAGAGACTGACAAAGACATGGGCGTGGATGGTGCAAGTGTGCCTGGCGCATTGGTGATGGCTCTCTAAGCCACCAAGTGTTCTCAGATTGTGAGCATGAACTCACTGGGACTGTGTGTGTGCAGTGGAGTAAGTTGCACCAAACACGGTCAGCTTAGTGTGGGTGTAAAACAAAGCACGGCTGTTCCTGTGGCATTGAAGGCTTGAGGAAAGAAAGCAGGGAATGACCTTTGAAGCAGTAGTTATGGTTATCGGGTTATCAGGTTTGTCATACTGTGTAATATTTCCTCCCTAATAAAAGTGAGCTCCTTGAAGACAGGCACTCAGCTCTGCACCCCTGGGCCTTGCAGAACACCGTTGTGAACAGTTTGAAGATGTAATTGATTGTTTGAAATGGCAGGTGTGGAATGGGCTGGTAGGTGCTGTGCAGGCATCTGAGAGCCTATCTCAAAACTGCCTTTAGTCCCAGCACTAGGAAGGCAGAGGCAGGAGGAGCTCTGTGAGTTCAAGGCCACACTGGTCTACAAAGTGGGTTCCAGGACAGCCATGGCTATACAGAGAAACCCTATCTTTAAAAAAAGGAGAAAGTTAACTCCACAAAATTGTCCTCTGACCTCCACACATGTACTATGGCATGCACCCCCTACCCCAATCATACACCCATACATTTTTTTTTTTAATTTAAAGAAAGCCACCCTATTAGTTAAGTACTCCATCCAGGCCTTAGCACAGTTGATTTGAGCTAGCATGTGAGAGTTCTAGAGCATGGGTTTGATTGTCAAAGGGATATGGTTGGCCTTTTCTGTTTGTCAGTGAAGAATGGATTGCTAATCTCAAGTGCTGCTTACATTTGAGCTATTGCTTGTAGAGAAGTAGGTGAAGAATGTGAGTAAATCAGGCCAGTCACGGTGCCCTGTGACATTTGTAGTGCCTAAGACTGGTTGAAATAGACAGAAAAGAGCAAGCCATGGGGGAATGTTGGTTCTTGGGATTTTAACCCTTCTAACAGCACTATGGGATAAATGGTGGTTCCAGTACTAGGGATAGAGGAGGAATGCTAGCTAGGTCATGGTTCTCAAGGACAGCACCCAGACACTTGTCAGGAACTAAAGCCGTTGTGGGTCTGTGTCTAGTAGAGTGCCATGTCCCTAGTCTCCCAGCTGCCTAGCAGGAGAGGGATAGTGACAGAATATTCTGGAAACATCCTCCAGAGATTCAGAGGAAATGTCAAGACCTATGCTAAAGTAGTTACCAGGCATACCAAGAAGAGGAAGTGGAGGGAGGTAAGGTTGAACTCTGAGTCACACTAGGGAGGGCGACTGGTTAGGCCCAGCAGCCTAATGGAGCCACCAGGACCTCATGTGTGACCCTTCTTCTTCCAGCAACCAGACCTCATGGCGGAAAGCCAATCTTACCTGCAAAATTGCCATCGACAACCTGGAGAAAGCAGAACTTCTGCAGGGAGGAGACCCCTTAAGGCAAAGGTATCTTCCCTTTGTCCCTGCGGGCTCTGGTAACATAACATCTAAGCACCATGTGAGGTGGCCTTTTGTTTTCATAACATTTTATTGCAGAAGTATTTTTTTTTTTCTTTTTTGAGACTGGGTCTCATACATCCCAGTCTGCTCTCAAACTTGCTGTGTAGCTGAGGATAGCCTTGAACTTCGGATTTCACAGGCGTGCACCTCCATACCCAGTTTATGCTGTTCTGAAGACCCACCCAAGGGCTTTGTGCATACTAGGCAAGCACTTTACCAACTGAGTCCCCAAGCCCTGACTAAATTTGACTAAAATTGGTTTTGGGTTTTGGGAGTTTGTTTGTTGCTGTAATGGGGGTTGAACCTAGGGCCTCATGCATGAAGGGCAGATGCTCTACCACTGAGCTAACTCCAAGTCCTCCCTGACCATATTTTTTAAAGATTTATTTATTATGTACACAGTGTTCTGCCTGCATGCCAGAAGAGGGCATCAGATCTCATTACAGATGGTTGTGAGCCACCATGTGGGTGCTGGGAATTGAACTCAGGACCTCTGGAAGAGCAGCCAGTGCTCTTAACCTCTGAGCCGTCTCTCCAGCCCTCTCCCTGACAATTTTAAGCCTCTTCTTTTAACTGCACATGCATAGTATCTGTGTTATTAGCCAGTCCTGTTGATGTGTTTGCATTTCCACCTTTTCAGTATCATATGAGGCATCAAGGCAGGTTTGTATCCGGTTTCTTTGAACAAGTTCTCTGGGAGTGAATGAACATTTCTTAGTCTTTTCATACTTAGTTCAAACTGGTTTACAGACAGCAGCATGGAGCATGGTTTCCCTTCCTTCCAGCAGGGCTAGAGAATGTAGATTTAACATATATCCTTAGCCACACTGACTGATGTTTTAGAAATGTGCAAGCCGGGCAGTGGTGGTCCACGCCTTTAATCCCAGCTTTCGGGAGGCAGAGGCAGGTGGATCCTTGTGAGTCAAGTCCATCCTGGTATACAGAGCCAGTTCCAGGACAGCCAGGGCTACACAGTAAGACCCTATCTTGAAAAACCAAAAAGGAAGAAAGAAATGTATACTAGCTGGCTATGTAGTACTTACCTATAATCCTAGCACTCACAGGTGGGAGGTGGGCTGAGGTGAAGACATTCTACTCTCTGGACCAGGCTGAGCTACAGTTTGACACCCTGTATCAAAGCACAAACAGAAAAAGCACTAATGTCATGGGTTAAAAATGGTGCTTTTGTAGCAAGCTAGGTTTTTGTTGCTTCTGCTCCTTCCTCTGGACTTTCAGGAAAACTACCAAAGAGAGTTTGGCGCAGACATCCAGCACCATCACAGAGAGCCTCATGGGGATCAGCAGGATGATGTCACAGCAGGTGCAGCAGAGCGAAGAGGCTATGCAGACTCTAGGTAAGAAGTAGAAGCTGCTCCAGAGTGCATACCCTGGCACCTCTGCGCATCCCTCCAGCTCTCCTCACCTGAAGTGTGCCTTAGGACAGATGAGACAGTTGGTCTTTCCCAGGGAGGGGCATGCTGCTCTTCCTCTCCTTCAGCTGCGCAGCTGTGCTAGTCACAGTGTATGTCCTCAGTGCCTCCCAGAGGAAGCATTGCTAGGCTCGTGTGAAAAGCAGAAATGGCCGGCCTCTCTGGAGATGGTGTCTGTCAGCAGTGCTCGCAAGGGGTCCGGGAGCCTGGTTTTTAGCATGGGCTCGTGGGCTTAGTATTGCCAGGCAGGTTTGGGAATCAGGACCACTGCAAGATGATTACTGTGAGTTCCTTTTAAATGTACCAGCCAGAGGCCACAGAGGAGGCTGTTTGAGACCACCACGTTCTTGCTAAGTGCCTTCCCACCATGGCTCCTTTGTAGAGAATGTGTCCCTCTGGGGCCCGCCCCTCAGTTGTAGGAAACAGGAAAGGAGTTTGCTCTTAAGATTTCACAGGTCACCGGGCGATGGTGGCACATGCCTTTAATCCCAGCACTCGGGAGGCAGAGGCAGGCGGATCTCTGTGAGTTTGAGGCTAGCCTGGGCTACCAAGTGAGCTCCAGGGAAGGCGCAAAGCTACACAGAGAAACCCTGTCTTGAAAAACCAAAAAAAAAAAAAAAAAAAAAAAAGATTTCACAGGTCAACCAAAGTAGACAGCAAGGTTTGGTAAATTCTTGAATCTACCACCTTGCTTTCATGGGTGTCACAGCTACCTTGTTTCATTTCTACCCTTATTTGTCCTCTAGTCCAGACATCATCCATGAAGATAGCTCAACATATCTAAAAGCTGATGATAAGTGGGCTGGAAAGATGGCTCAGTGGTTAAACTCAAATACTGCTCCTGAAAAGGACCCAAGAGGTACCCAGCACCCACATCAGGCAGCAATCAACTGTCATGCGCCTATACCCACACAGATATGCACATAACTAACAATAATAAAAAGAAATCTTACCCTCCTGGCTCAGGCACTCAGACAGACAGACAGACAGCATATTGAGCTCTTCCTTGTTCAGGTGGCACAGTCTGAATCAGTCTCCTTCCCCGTCTGTTGCAGTCAGCTCTTCACGAACTCTCCTGGATGCAAATGAAGAGTTTAAGTCCATGTCGGGGACCATCCAGCTGGGCCGGAAGCTCATCACAAAATACAACCGCCGTGAACTGACGGACAAACTTCTCATCTTCCTTGCCCTGGCCCTGTTCCTTGCTACAGTCCTCTATATTGTGAAGAAGCGCCTCTTTCCATTTTTGTGAGCAAGAGCTGTCCGCTATGGCCCTTTGCACTCCCGATTCAGGACGAGGCTCTCAAGACTGGCCGGGCCGCCAAACTGGGCTGCTCCTCCCTGGGGTTCTCTCCAGTTGCTCAGGGCACCCAAAGGAGGGGAACACAGCAGCCCAGTTTCCTTCAAGAAGCTGCTTGGGAAGGGCAAGTGGAGTAGAGGACAAGGAAGCCTTCGGGACAGATGCAGTCCACATCCACTCAGCTGCCAAGCACTGTGGCTGCCACAGGGAGCATTTCAACTCCGGGGTTTGATGTACCTCCCTCAGGTCCTGAGGCGTAAATGCTAGATCTGGTGGAGAGAAGAGCCTTGGGGGTGGGGGAGAGTGGGGAAGGTGATGACAGCTCATGACTGTTCCCCGAATAAACCTCACTTATTTAATGGAGTGAGAAATGTTTGATTTTACAAGACATCTCTCTGAGAACGTACATCTGTGCTTCATTGTGTCCCGATTCCTAGGACATGAGCTTAGACTATTCATTCAACAAGGAATTACTGAGGTCAGAAAGAGGGCTCGGTGGTTATGATACTTGCTGCTCTTTTAGAAGACCAGTTCAGTTTCCAGTACCCACTTGGTGCTCACAGCCGCCTCTAACTCCAATTCCAGGGGATCTGATGCTCTCTCTAGGCCCCCAGGCAGGCACATAGTGCACTTATAAACATACAAGCAAACACTCATACACATTCATGTTTTTAATTTATCGAGGGCAAGTGAGATAGCTTAGCTGGTAGAGGCACTTCCCACTAAGTCTGATGACCCGCGTCTGTCCACAGGCCCCACAGGTGGAAGGAGAATACCAGCTCCAGAAAGTTAGGCAGCTGTGGCATATGTATGCCCCCGCATACACACAAATAAATACAGGACAAAAATTAAAGAAGCGTGGAACAGCTGCCCCAGGCTGGTTCCTAGACATTGCCAGACATTACACACTCACTTGTAAAGCTGACATGCTCCCTCCAACACCACCACAAGGGAGATGTCAGCATGAGGGACTATACCAGCATCTGAAACTGCTCAGATGGTCTTTCTCTCACCAGCCTGGCAGGACCTGGGGCATTATGGTGACTGAGGAGCTTGCTGGCTCCTTTCTCTCGGAGGTCGAGATTAAATGTGACAGAGGGAGAAGCCAGTACTGCTGACACCCAACTCTGTCCATGCCAGGTGCAGGCTCCCAGCTAGACCAGCCCCGGAGGTGCCCCTGCCCCATGCTGTCAGCTTGACTGGTCTTGTTCTTTTTCCTGCCTGAGAGGCAGAGAGCAAGTGGAGGGCACAGGCCTGGAACTGGTTCTCAGAACATGCAAACCACACAGCCCCAAGCAGATTGCCTTATGTTTCTGTGTCAGTGTCCCCAGCCGCACAGTGGAAGTGGTAGTCCACACAGGGCCAGTTTGAATGAAAGGGAAAGGTGAAGTAGCGGGCATAGCTCCCTTGTTATGAGCCTTCACCCAGCTTCACAAATTCTGGGAACTCTGAACCCTGAGGGGTCCTTCAGCAGCAGCAGCAGCAGCAGGCCTTCCTCAGAAGCCGCCAGGGAAAGGCAGTTCTGTTTGGACCTATTTGAGCAGCGGATACCAAAAGTTAAAGCTTCTGCTGCTGAAGGGACAGATCATCTTGGGACCAAGTATGTGGCATTGGCTGTATACACCAGACTGACTTTCTGAGTACACTGTGAACGGAAAGGTGTCGGTGTGTGTGGCACAGTGGATGATGGAAGCTTCTGCCCCATGGTACTGAATCCTACACACTAGCTCTGAGCAGTCAGTCTAATGACTGGGAAGGCTCCTCTGGCGGCAGTGGCTTGGTTGCCTGTGCAGAGAGCATATGCTGGGAAGACTGTTGGTTCCATCATTGGCAGTGTGGAGCAGAACGGCATGAGGTTTCTCCTAACGATGGTGTGCAACTAAAAACCCGTGAGCTGGTCCATTCTGGAATTTTCCATTTTATATTTTCATCTGTGGTTGGCCATGGATAGCTAAAGTCATGAGAAGCAAAATCATAGATAAGGTATGTATAGGAGGGATTACTACTGTCTCTCTTAAATAGTTCTTGGCCTCCAAAGGCACTTGGTGCAAATCATGCACACAAATTATAGTTGAAGCTGAGCATGCAGCACTGATGGGCAATTCCTGCTTGGATTCCAGCTGTAAGTGCTGCAGGTGGATATTATCAAGTGGGGATTTTCTTGTCTGAACATTGCTCTTTACTCTTCCCACTAATTGTCGACATCCTCACAATATGGAAACGTGGGCTCTGCATTCCCTAAAAGTCTCCCTTGGACACTCTATTCCTTTTACTTGCCTCCTGAAAACAGTCTGATTAGGCCTATTTATGGAGTCATCAGGCATGCATCTTGATCCTCCACCAGCCCTCTAAGTCTTCCTCACCCAATTAACTGTACAGAAAGCGGCCTTCCACACTCAGCCATGAGGGGGCAGTGTCCACACTCACTCTGCACTCCTGTAGACGTGATGTCTCCATAGACTGAAATACTCTAATCTCTCCCCACCCACACTTAAAAAGGGGGAGGGGTGAAAAAAACTAAATGTGTAAGGCCTCCCTGTGTTTTGGTTGGGATATGTTCCATAAGTTCCTTTAATATTTGATTAAACAATAAGACAAGCTCATACACTACATTTTGATTGGCAGATGGTAATGGTGTTAAAAATCCAGAGCAGAATATTCAAGGGAATATTCATTCAAGAGGCATTTGCTGATCACATGCTCTATGCCACATAATGTGTCGTGGAGCTGTAGTATGTGGTGAGGGTGAACAGATGATAAGTGATGTATATACTAAATATTTCATTCATTATGTCAGAAAATGAAGCAGGCTTTCTATATCCTTGGGTTCCCCATCTGCAGATTCAGCCAACTTTACATTTAAAAAAGAAAAATTATATGTATAGACTACTTGTCATTATCCCCTGGATAGTGCAATGTGACAAGTATTTTTCTAGCATTTACACTGCTTAGGATACCAAGGAAGAACCGTGAGTGCACAGGGCCCTGAGTGCACAGAGCTGTGAGTGCACAGGGCCCTGAGTGCAGAGCTGTGAGTGCACAGGGCCCTGAGTGCACAGAGCTGTGAGTGCACAGGGCCCTGAGTGCACAGAGCTGTGAGTGCACAGGGCCCTGAGTGCACAGAGCTCTGAGTGCACAGGGCCCTGAGTGCACAGAGCTGTGAGTGCACAGGGCCCTGAGTGCACAGAGCTCTGAGTGCACAGGGCCCTGAGTGCACAGAGCTCTGAGTGCACAGGGCCCTGAGTGCACAGAGCTCTGAGTGCACAGGGCCCTGAGTGCAGAGCTGTGAGTGCACAGGGCCCTGAGTGCACAGAGCTGTGAGTGCACAGGGCCCTGAGTGCAGAGCTGTGAGTGCACAGGGCCCTGAGTGCACAGAGCTGTGAGTGCACAGGGCCCTGAGTGCAGAGCTGTGAGTGTACAGGGGAAAGTGGCTCAGCCTAAGGGGTGTCTGGAGGAGAGAGGGCAGGTTTGCAGTGGTCAGGGCCAGGTGTGGTAGCACACACTTTTAATCTCAGCACTCAGGAGACAAAGGCAGGTCAGTCTGGTCTACATGCTGAGTTCCCTGCCAGGCAGGGCTCCATGGTGAAGATCTGTCTTTAAAAAACGTGTGCGGCTGGCAGAAGAGGGCCAGCCACCCAGCCACCTGGGAAGCCTAACCAACCCTCAGATGGCACACCCTCTTGGTTTTTTCCCACTTCTCTGGCAGCTCTCACTCTTTTTGTTGTTCATTTTCTGAACACCCCAAATGCCCACTAAGATCTCACTGCCTCTGCTTTCTCCTGCACTGTCTCAAAGCCGAGGTCCATGGACCCACAGCCTTAGTCATTTATTGGAGGAGCATCAACAGTCCAGAGTTCTAGGACAGCTCAGCCTTCTTCTCAGAGGAGCTCAAGACCCGCAGGCATCTCTGTTCCTGGCTCTCTCCCGCCCCACACCTAGCCCTTTTCCCAGCTCTGTCTTCCCTAACACTTCTTCTGGATCCTGTTAGGGCTAAGGCTATGCTCTATGCCATCCCAAATGTGCATGTGTGAGACCAGAATATGCTACTCAAGACAGACTTTTCTGGAGGCTGAAGAGATGACTCAGTGTTGCTCTTGCAAAGGACCTGGGTTCAGTTCCCAATACCCACAGCTCCTCACAGCTATCTGTAACTCCAGTTCTAAGGAGTCTGAAGGCCTCTTCTGACCTCTGCGAGCTCAGGCACATGCAAGCTAGACACTCATACACATAAAATAAATCTTTAATTTTTTTTCTTCGTTTGGTTTGAGACAGGGGTTTGTCTATGTAGCCCTGGCTATCCTAGAACTTTTTCTGTAAACCAGGTCAGCTTTGAACTCAGAGATCCACCTGCCTCTGCTTCCTGAGTGCTGGAATTAAAGGCATGTGCTATTATGCCTGGCACTCTTAAGAAATTTAAAGATTAACTTTTAGGGCATATGTTGAGCTGATCATGCTGAGAAGTCACTTACTCAGGAGGCCCTGAAAGCTGTTTTTCACAAGACATCCACCTCTATAAAGGAAAAGGACTTCAGTCCACATCTGTGTTGGCAGAAGGTCACTCCAGACACCTTACTCTCTGAATGGCGCTATCTATACAAAATAACAAAAATCACCATCCATTTCCACCCTCCCCCTGCCTAACCTTTCAGATGCTGGAGAAACGTCAATTGCTGTCTCATTTTGCAGGACTTTAGCGTGCATGTACATAAGTAGGTGTGGTTTTTCTCCTCTGAATCTGTTCTAATTTAATTTATAGCCTGGCCCGAGGATCCTGGAAGCATGGAGGACAATCACATTCTCCTTCATCACTGTCTCTTTTTCCTTCACCCACCCCATCTTCTCCAAACCAGGAAGCAAGACTTTGTTCTGTTGCTACTGATCCAGCCTTTCTGGGTCGGTTCATTTTGTTGCCAGGTGTGGAGACCTCAAATGCCCAGAGGAGGATTCTGCAATGGAATTCAGTGTAGAGGTGATTTAAGGCACAAAAATATTTTTAAAGGACTTTTGGTGGGGGTTGGGGGGCATTGAGACAGGGTTTCTGTGTAGTCCTGGCTACCCTGGAACTCACTTCTTAAACGAGGCTGGCCTTGAACTCAGAGATCTGCCTGCCTCTGCTTCCCGAGTGCTGGGATTAAAGATGTATGCCATCATGCCCAGCTTAAAGGGTTTTGTTGTTGTTGTTGTTTTTAGATAGCAATACAAATTAGTTTTTCCTCCTGAGTTAACAGTGGTCTTCCCTGGGCCGGTGGTGGTCTTCCCTGGGCCTCTCCTCACAGCTTCACCCAAGCTGCGCTTGAGCAAGGACAGAATAAAAATAGCTGTAGCTATCTAAGAGATAGACGGTCTGGCGGTGCCGTCAGGGA